TGTTGTTGAAATCATTCCAATTAATTATATAGTTGTTCACTAGCCTCAAGGTAGTTATTTATCTGAAGAAATTAATTTTTCACGAACCAGAAGTAATTTTTAATTAATTTTGGTAATTATTTGATATTAGTTCATAATTTAGATTAAATACTAGAAAAGAAAGAAAAAATGAGTTCGGCCCTATTTACAGTTTAGTTAACTTAAATATCATCACTAGTAGTTAATATAAAATTTGGTACGAATTTAGAGTATTTTTTATTAATTTCGGTAATTACTTTATATTATTGCTTAAGTCAAAATAAATACTAAAAAAGGAAAAAAAAAAAATAGTTCGGCCTTAATTTCAGTTTGATTCATAGTAATATCACTCCCAGTAGCTAAAATAAAATTTATAACGAAGTTAGCATATTTTTAGTTGCTTTTTGCATTTTCTAGTTAAAATTGGGAAAATTATCAATTAGTTGTCAAAAATTGGATTTTAGGTTCAAAAATTGGTGAAAAATTCCAGAAAGTTATATTTTAGTTCCTACAAGTTTATTGTTCCAGAATATAATTTTTGTTTAATTTTTGCTATCATACATGTTTAATTCCTTGTTAATGTTGAATTTAATCATTATATTGTTAATTGCAAAAATGGTGATGAGTAGCTAAATTTGTTAGGGCATGAATTGAGAAAAGGAATATGGATTGACTTGTTGACCTAAAATTAGGGGTTAAAATTAATAAATTGGACTAGTTGTTTGAAATGATGAAATAGTAATTAATAATAGTTAGCCATTTTCATTAATTAAATTCTTGGAAAATTAATTCTAACTTGTCTATGAGATTAGAAATTAATTTAAGCCAACCATATTTGAGAACATTAATAAGGCCTAGAAATAGGATAATTTAATGAAAAGGATTTACATCTTGTCTATGAGAAATAAATTCAATTGCTAAAATAAAGAGTTTAACTAGTTAATGAATTTGGCTATTTTTATTAATTAAAATATTGGAAAATTATTTCTACCTTGTCTATTGGTTTAGAAAATAATTTAAGCCAACCATTTTAAACACATTAATGACACCTAGAAATAGGATAAATTAATGAAGATAGTTTCTATTCTTGTCTATGAGGAAAGAAATTATTAGTCCAACTTTAGTTTTAATTTCCCTAATTAAGAGGTCCAAGAACATATCCATTTCTAATTACTCAATTCATTGCCCTTATTTGCATCCTTGAATAATCAGTCTTTATACATTAATCTTTAAATTGCACCTTGCTCCTAGTTATAATTTAGCATAATAAAGAACAAAAACACTTTCCTATATTGAAAAGGCTTCCAACGATTAGCGATAGCCCGTGACTAAAATTAAATTAAGAAACTTCTCCGCCATTCCTCAAGAGACACGACACTCGGGGAAAAACCGAAAGGTTAGACTCCGTTTTACTACAACGCCGCAAAAGCGGTTATCACAAAGTGGTCGGGATTAATGAAATCTCTATCACGACGGAGATAAACAAAAGGCTTGAAGAAATGGAATCAAAGATTGAGCAAAAGTTCCAAACGGCTCTACAACTTGAAGAGGTAAATTATATGAACTCCTATGGGAATCGGGGGAACAATAACTATTCAAATCAACAAAGGTGGAAGCCACAAGCTAGTTCCTCACAACCCCAATCCGGAGCACCTAATTTTGGGCAACCCAAGGAGACTACCATGGAGGATATGATGCAATTCATGTCCAAAAGCATGGCAAGCATGAAGGCCCAAAATGAGGAAAATCATCATAGAGTGGAGGCATCCATTGGAAATCTCCACTCTCAATTCACCAAGTTGGATCTTCGATTTGAAGATCAAAATATGAAGCTCAACCAACGCATCGACACCATTGAGCAATACAACAAGGCATCCATTCGGAATCTTGAAGTACAAATGGGACAACTTGCTCAAAAAGTAAGTTCTAGGGAGCAAGGCAAATTTCCTACAACCATGGAGATGAACCCAAGGGAGAACGTGATGGCCATTACCATAAGGAGTGGTAAGACGACGGAGGACCCGAAGATGCCGGAAGAGGAGGAGACCCCGAAAAAGCAAAACGAAGATGGAGATGGGGAACATATGATGCCACCATCCAATATGGCTAACTATGTTCCTCCCATCCCATATCCTCAAAGATTGAAGAAAAAGAATGATGGTGCTCAATATAGAAAATTCCTTGATATTTTTACTAAATTGAGCATCAACATTCCATTTGCCGAAGTGATAGCGGAGATTCCATCTTATGTCAAATTCTTGAAGGGCATACTCTCAAATAAAAAGAAATTGGCAGAATTTGCTACCATTGCCCTTACGGAGGAGTGTAGTGCCATCTCACAAAACAAACTCCCTCCTAAATTGAAGGACCCCGGAAGCTTCACGGTGCCATGTTCTATTGGCAAGATTGGAGAGGTAAGATCCCTTTGTGATCTTGGTGCTAGTATCAACCTCATGCCCCATTCTTTATTTAAAAAGCTTGGTGTGGGGGGACTTCAATCAACCACAATAGCCTTACAACTTGCGGATAGATCAATTCGCTACCCTATTGGAGTTATGGAGGATGTGCTTGTTAAGGTTGGAAAATTCTACTTTCCTGTGGCTGAAGTGGCTGAATCTGCTCAAGTGAAAGTGTTTGATAATATATTGGCTGAATTTGCTGATTGAATGTAAAATTACCACAGGGGTGTCTTTTGCATATTATGTGATTCACAACTACTTCTTTCATTTATGGGGAATACGTCGAAGGGTTTACAGGAGGCTAATGTTTTCATTTCTTAAAAAACACTAATGCTTATTTCGTAAAAAAATTATCAGGCCAATTCAACAACTCCTAGACCTTCTTTTATAATTGTCTTATTATAGTCTGTTCTTAGAACTATCAAGAACAAATAACATCAAACAGTTCAATTAATGACAATATTGAGCAAAGCTTAGAAACAGCCATTCAAGAACCTTATTCTCACAACACCGATTTATCAACAACTTCAAATAATCACTACAAAATAATCAACTACTACTAGTAATCATTGTCATATATTTTGGGAAGAAATAAGAGTGAGAGTGGGTATGGGAAGAATTGAAGAAGAGTCTTCGATCTGGATATGGAGCACCATTTACCTTCATGAACATGGAGCAGCTCAGGAAGAGTTTTCAATCAAGTGGAAGAATATGTTAAATGTCGATTTCGGATTTGGAGCTACGGAAGATGCATTCCAGGCACAATAGAAGGGTAAATCTTACAGTAGCTACAATTCTACTGTAACGAAGTTATCAACTATGGAATAAAATGGGGAATTTGTGAAGAAGATAAGAATGGAACATAGCATAGGAAGATTTAGGAGCTGAGCTCAACTAAGCATTGTCAAGAGGAATATTATTCATATCTGAATTACAATGGATTGTTTTATTTATACACATCAGTCATAACCAATTGCTCTAACTGTGAACGGTATTAGCTAAGTTGTTACAACTACTAAAAATAGAAGGTTCCAGAATTAAACTGTAACAATACTTCCTTTTTTTTTTTAAAAAGCTTGTCCTCAAGCTGAAAAATTTGGAAACTTTCTGGGAAACACCTCTGAGGGAGTGTTTGCAACAGTTAAAAATTTGAAGTATCACAGAAGTATTAATAACCGCTTTCGCGGCGTTGTAGTAAAACGGAGTCTAACCTTTCGGTTTTTCCCCGAGTGTCGTGTCTCTCAAGGAATGGCGGAGGAGTTTCTTAATTTAATTTTAGTCACGGGCTATCGCTAATTGTTGGAAGCTTTTTCAATATAGGAAAGTGATTTTGTTCTATATTACGCTAAATTATAACTAGGAGCAAGGTGCAATTTAAAGATTAATGTATAAATATTGAATATTCAAGGATGCAAATAAGGGCAATGAATTGAGTAATTAGAAATGGATATGTTCTTGGACCTCTTAATTAGGGAAATTAAAACTAAAATTGGACTAATAATTTCTTTCCTCATAGACAAGAATAGAAACTATCTTCATTAATTTATCCTATTTCTAGGTGTCATTAATGTGTTTAAAATGGTTGGCTTAAATTATTTTCTAAACCCATAGACAAGGTAGAACTAATTTTCCAATATTTTAATTAATAAAAATAGCCAAATTCATTAACTAGTTAAACTCTTTCTTTTAGCAATTGAATTTATTTCTCATAGACAAGATGTAAATCCTTTTCATTAAATTATCCTATTTCTAGGCCTTATTAATGTGCTCAAATATGGTTGGCTTAAATTAATTTCTAATCTCATAGACAAGTTAGAATTAATTTTCCAAGAATTTAATTAATGAATATGGCTAACTATTATTAATTACTATTTCATCATTTCAAACAACTAGTCCAATTTATTAATTTTAACCCCTAATTTTAGGTCAACAAGTCAATCCATATTCCTTTTCTCAATTCATGCCCTAACAAATTTAGCTACTCATCACCATTTTTGCAATTAACAAAATAATGATTAAATTCAACATTAACAAGGAATTAAACATGTATGATAGCAAAAATTAAACAAAAATTATATTCTGGAACAATAAACTTGTAGGAACTAAAATATAACTTTCTGGAATTTTTCACCAATTTTTGAACCTAAAATCCAATTTTTGACAACTAATTGATAATTTTCCCAATTTTAACTAGAAAATGCAAAAAGCAACTAAAAATATGCTAACTTCGTTATAAATTTTATTCTAGCTACTGGGAGTGATATTACTATGAATCAAACTGAAATTAAGGCCGAACTAATTTTTTTCTATTTTTCTAGTATTTATTCTAAATTATGAACTAATCTCAAATAATTACCAAAATTAATTAAAAATTACTTATGCTTCGTGAAAAATTAATTTATTCAGATAAATAACTACCTTGAGGCTAGTAAACAGCTATATAATTAATTGGAATGAATTCAACAACAATAACTATTTTATTTAATTTTTGGAAGTAAATGCGAAATACTTGAAAAATAATCTGGAAATTTTCGAAGAACAGATTGAACAAACAAAGTGCAGATTCAGATTCTACTCGTTGAGAAGATGAAAATACATATAAAGAACTTACAATTTGGAGCTAAAATGAAGAAGATATGAAGATTTGAAGTTTCTCTCTCTCTAAAACCTTTGGAGCTCGAAAATGGAGGAAGAAAGAAGGTGTTTTGAACTGATTTAGGGTTGGAAGAGGTGTGTTTGAGATGTAGAAAAAGCCTGCTATTTATAGCAGAAATTTCACCGAAGGCGCCCATGCAGGCGGCCGCCTTCCGGCAGCATCTGGCCGCCTGCCGTCAAGTCGCCGGCAACACGACGTGGCCGGTCCCGTCAGCCGTAGGCGGCCACAGAGGGCGGCCGCCTTCCGTCACACCTTGGCCGCCTGCCGTCTTTTCAGGGTTAAATCGGATCGCGGCGGATCCCGCCGGATCCCGGCCGCCGCAGGCGGTCCAGCAGGCGGCCGCCTGCCGTTCCTGTCTGGCCGCCTGCCGTCAAATCCCACCGGCCGGCGGTTGCTTCGTCGTCTTCTGCCGCAGGCGGTCACCGTAGGCGGCCGCCTTCCGTCCAGTGTCGGCGGCCTACGGTCTTTTCCGAACCCGGTCAAAGTCAAAGTTTGACTTTCCAAAAATACCGTAGGCGGCCGCGAAGGCCTTCATTTTGGCCGCCTGCCCGGCCGCCTGTGACCTAATTTGTCCGGCTTGTTCCTTATTTTGTGCTCTTCAATATTGTCTTCTGGACCACTTTGAAATAATGTCTCCTTCTTTCGGTATGATATCATTTGTTGCTCAAATTGGCTCATGTTGTGCTCAATTGACCCGAAATTCCGACAAACATACGATGAATGTGGTTTTCACCTGATTTCATGAAACTTGAACCAAAATATCTAAAACATGCCTTTTCTTTCTATTTTCAATCAAAAATCGCTTAAATTTGATAAGAAAAATAAGTACAAAAATGGACTTATCAATCTCCTCACACTTAAGCGTTGCTTGTCCTCAAGCGACGAATTAGTTGGAAACACACTCAAAAAGGGAAAACCTGACTATATCACAATCGAATTGCTATTAAAGAAGTAGAAACAAAAACCTCTCTTTTATTCTCAATTTTTTTTTTTTTTTAGAAAAATCACCCAAGATATATGAATTTACTATTATTATTACTAAAGAAAACTATTGATTATGTTAAACCACCGATCAATTCCTTATCCCAAAGTTTTCATTATTCTAATTTGGACATTCATTTTGTTCACCATTTTTTTTTTTTTTTTTTTTTTTTTTTTGCTCTTTTTCACTCTTTGTTGGCGGTGTTATCCCATGGTAAATGCATATTTCATTCTCACAGACTGTGATTAACGAATGAAACAGAGCCCCTTTTCGGAGATGGAATTGTCCTATAACAATGAGTTTTGAAGAGGTTTATTAATAGTAACATTTTTTTTTATGAAAAAAATGAATGTCCAATTAAAACAAATTCGGCCCTTTACATTCGCAACCAAAAACCCATAACAAATTTAAGTTTTCTAAAAATAATAATAAAAGTGAATTCTTATAATAAGGGTGATTATCTAAACTATTTTGTGATTGATAACAAATTGAGAAATTAATGTTTCATGTCAAAAATAGTAAAAAGATTGTTCTAAAACAAGGTTTTAACTTTTGAGTGTAAAACGCAACCTCCTCACACTTGAGCTGGACCTCGCCCTCGAGGTCTTCTTTTGAGGCACAAAATTGGGAAATAAAGGCACATTTTTTTTTTTTTTTTTTGGTTCTTTCCTCACACTTGAGTTTTGAAAAGATTTTGTGAAGAGGAATAATGAAACAGGAGAAAAAATGGTTTTAAAAATCCTTACATCATCCATAGTCAGTTTGTAAGAGCATTCAAGTCAAAAGAGCAGCGCAATGTCCAACCTGAAGAACAAACAAACATGATAAAAATGTTAAGGAAGAAGCAAATCTAAACATCGCCTGCGCCATCCTGGGGGCCATAGTGTGGCCTAAGCCAATCTCTCATCTCATCAATATCTAGCCTCTGGGTCTCTAGCTCCGCCTGCATATCCTGGGTGGCTCTCTCCTGAGCTAATCGAAAGTCTCTGAACTCTCCCAGGGCCGTCTCATGCGCCTCTCGCATCTCCTGGAGTCCTCTGTCCTGTGCAACCCGCATCTCTGAAACTGAAGTCTGGAGACTCCGCATCCCGTCCATCATCGCTCTCCAATCTGCGGCGCTAGGCATGTATGAAAAGGGCTCGCTAGATCCCTCATGTCCTGAGGGTCGAGAAGAACTACTCTGCTGGGTCGGCTGCTCAATACCTGGGAGCTCCTGAGTGTTCCGCTTCTTCTTGATCCTCATGTTGGTAAAGGATGAGGATCGAAGAACGCGGATGCTCTCCTGTAAATGTGATAGCCCTGGAATGTCTAGATCTGGGTAGAATGATCTAACGAGGGTAGTGATGAAGGGCCCTGCCTGGATAGTGCGCCGCACAGTCTTCCCCTGGCTCCGGAAGAAACGAGCCATAAGGACAGCCATATTCACCGGGATGCGGTGAATCAAACTCCAAAAGAATAGTATGTCCTTTTTGGACAACCTGTTTGTGTTGTTAGGTCGTCCAAAAAAACCACAAGAAAGTACGAACGAGAGTATGTACCAGTGAGTCTCCCTCCATTTGTTCGAATGGGGGTGCATCCGGAGAAATGATCTGGTGTCTGTGGAGTGTCTGTGCCAGAACTCATCAATGTCAAATGCCTCGGGTAAGCGGGTCGGAAGAGCACGGAACTCCTCAGTCTGTGTGTATGCTGGGGTATAGAGCCCCATCCTCCATCCGAGCTCAGCCACAGTGATGGAGTGCTCCATGCCTAGAATAGTAAACCTCATCCGAGACTCTGACCCAATAACAGCACCCTCCTGCACAGCCTGTCCGTAATGAGTGAACTGAACGGAGCACAGAAACTCCATCGTCAATGGAAGGCTGGCCCTCTCCTGAACGAATAGAATCCTCCGCCATAAAGAGTCTCCTAGCAGGGCATCAATGTCATCCCAGTACCCCCATTCCTCTAGCATCGTCGGGTCCAGGATCATGGGAGGAAGGAGTGTGCGGTATTGCCCCCATGCCTGGAAGCGTCTGCGATCAGCAATAGTAGCAAAGGGGATATCAGGCTGTGGCGGCGGGTCTTCCCGTCCTAGTGGTGGCTCCTCGAAAATGGGATCGTCACGTCTTCCTCCAGACATCTGCAAGAAAAAAAACAAAGTAAAATATTTTTGGGTGAGTTTTTTTTTTTTTTTTTTTTTTTTTTTTTTTTTTTTTTTTTTTTGGTTGGGTTGCCTCCCAATGAGCGCTTCTTTAACGTCACTAGCTTGACGAATGTCCTCCTTTGGTTCAAAATTTTTGGAGATAGAGAATCTCCTTGCTTTTTTCAATCGGGCCGCCATGGTAAAGTTTAAGTTGGTGGCCGTTGACTTTAAAGGGAGCCCCATTAGCATCTTCAATCTCAACAGTTCCGTAGGGGTAAGCTTTTATGACCTTGAATGGTCCGGACCATCTTGATTTAAGCTTTCCTGGAAAAAGCTTCAACCGGGAGTTGAACAACAGCACTTTATCTCCAGCATTGAAATCACGAGCTTTGATGTGTTGATCATGGTAGAGTTTGGCTCGTTCCTTGTAAAGTTTGGAATTATGAAAAGCTTGCGCTCTCCATTCTTCCAGTTCATTCAGCTGGTAAAATCGTTCCTTCCCTGCAGTATCCAGTTTAAAACAGACATTTTTCATCGCCCAAAGTGCTTTATGCTCGAGTTCGACGGGTAAGTGGCAAGACTTCCCGTATACAAGGCGAAAAGGTGTGGTTCCGATCGGGGTTTTGTAAGCAGTCCGAAATGCCCAAAGAGCGTCGTCAAGTTTAGTCGACCAGTCTTTCCTGGTCTGGGCAACAGTTTTCTCCAGAATGGACTTCAAATCCCTGTTAGCGTTCTCCACTTGTCCTTGAGTCTGGGGGTGGTACGCTACTCCGCTTCGATGTTGGACTCCATATTTGGCCAAAATTCTAGCCATTGGGTCATTGTGGAAATGAGTCCCTCTATCGCTGATCAAAACCCTAGGCACACCAAATCTGGTAAAGAGCTTTTTCAGAAAATTCACGACTACTCGAGAGTCGTTGGTGACACAGGCCTGGGCTTCAACCCATTTAGAAACATAATCAATGGCCACAAGAATGTATTTGTTTCCTCTTGAGCTTGGGAAAGGTCCAACAAAGTCGATGCCCCAAACATCAAATACCTCACAAGGTAAGATAAAGTGTTGGGGCATCTCATTGCGCCCAGAAATGTTCCCGATTCGTTGACAGTTATCACAAGAAGAAACAAATACATTAGCATCTTTAAAAATCGTGGGCCAGAAGTACCCACAGTCCAAAACCCGCCTTGCGGTTCTATTCCCTGAGAAGTGGCCCCCAGTAGGACCGCTGTGATAATGCTCCAGAATGTCCTTTGCCTCAGCTTCAGTAACACATCTTCTCACCACCTGGTCAGCACAAATTCGGAATAGATATGGATCATCCCAAAAATAGTGCTTTGCTTCTGATAGGAACCGCCTTTTCATGTGCCTTGTCAGTTCGGTAGGCTCGACTTTACCAACAAGGTAGTTGGCAATGTCGGCATACCACGGTGTTTGCTCCTTGGCGGAAATCGCCATCAATCTCTCAGCAGGAAAAAGCTCCTCAATTTCGCATTTTCCGAAAGTTTCTGCTAACTCGGCATCTAACCTCGAGAGGTGATCAGCTGCCTGATTAGCAGACCCTCTTCGGTCCCTGATTTCAATATCAAATTCCTGCAACAAAAGAACCCAGCGTAACAGTCTAGGCTTAGCATCATGCTTTTGGAGGAGATATCTAATGGCCGAATGGTCGGTATAGATAATAACCTTCGAAAGAATGATGTAAGTCCTAAACTTCTCTAAAGCACAAACAATAGCAAGGAATTCTTTTTCGGTGGTAGTGTAGTTGAGTTGTGGCCCTGACAGAGTTTTGCTAGCGTAGTAGATTGGGTGGAAGTTCTTGTCCTTCCTTTGACCAAGGATGGCCCCCACTACTAAGTCACTAGCGTCACACATGAGTTCAAAGGGTAAGCTCCAATCTGGGGCCACAAGCACAGGTGCATTGATCAGTTGTGTTTTAAGTGCTTGGAAAGCATGGTGACATTCATCAGAGAATATAAAAACCGCATCTTTTTCAAGTAACCGGGTGAGAGGTTTTGCGATTTTAGAGAAATCCTTTATAAAACGACGATAAAAGCCCGCGTGTCCTAAGAAGCTGCGGATGGCTTTTACCGTGGTTGGTGGAGGAAGTTTCTCTATCGTCTCAATTTTTGCACGGTCCACCTCTACCCCGTTACTTGACACCTTGTGTCCAAGTACTATACCCTCTTTCACAAGGAAATGACATTTCTCCCAACTTAGGGCTAAATGGGTTTCCTTGCAGCGGATAAGTACTTTCTCCAGGTTTTCAAGGCATTTTTCAAACGTTTCCCCAAAAATAGAGAAGTCATCCATGAATACCTCCATGAAGTGGCCAATGTATTTTTCAAAAATGGCAATCATGCACCTCATGAAGGTGGCAGGAGCATTACAGAGACCGAAAGACATCCTACGAAAAGCAAAGGTCCCAAAAGGGCATGTAAACGTAGTTTTGTCTTGGTCTTCCGGGTTGACATGGATTTGGAAGTATCCACTCATGCCATCCAGGAAACAGTAGTGACTATGGCCTGCCAACCTCTCTATTAATTGATCGATGAAGGGAAGGGGAAAATGGTCTTTCCGGGTGGCTTCGTTCAGTTTACAATAATCGATTACCATTCGCCACCCGGTAACAGTTCGACTGGGTAGAAGTTCGCCCTTTTCATTTTTCATGACGGTCATTCCCCCCTTTTTGGGGACAACATGAATAGGGCTTACCCACTGGCTATCAGAGATGGGGTAAATGATACCCGCATCCAGCAGTTTGACAATCTCAGCACGCACTACTTCCATCATGTTTGGGTTTAAACGTCGTTGTGGTTGGACAACTGGTTTAAACCCTTCCTCAATCTTGATGGTGTGGGTACAAAAGGCGGGGCTTATTCCATTGATGTCCTCAAGTTTCCAAGCAATTGCTTGCTTGTGTGTCTTAAGGACTCCAAGTAATTTCTCCCTTTGTTCCTCACTTAAGTGTGCGGCGATGACGACAGGGCATTTGCCTTCGTCATCCAAGAATGCATATTCTAAGTGGTCGGGCAGTTTCTTTAGTTCGAGGGGGTGGTCGTTTTTCAAGTTTTGTTCATTTTTCTCCCCCTCAAACTCAGTCAATACTTCGTTAGAAGCTTGATCAATCAGCGCATCCTCACAACTCTCACATGCATCACTCACATCACTGTTGGCTTCTTTTAACAGACATGCGTCATCAGTTACATGTCCATTTTCTTCCCTAAACAGATACCCTTCAATAGACTCAAAGGTATCAAGAAAATGACATCCTTGAAAAGAATCTGTGGGGTGTTTCATAACATCTGAGAGTCGGAAGGTGCATAGATCATCTCCGACTCTTAGAGTTAATGAGCCATCAGTGACATCAATCAAGGCCCTGGCGGTAGCCAGAAAGGGCCTTCCCAGAATAAGAGGTGTTTCCCTATCCTCTTCCATGTCCATTACTACAAAGTCGACTGGGAAAATGAATTTGTCAACCTTGATCAAGACGTCTTCAACAATTCCTTTCGGATATTTGACTGAGCGATCAGCCAGTTGAAGACACATCCTGGTGGGTTTCATTTCCCCAAGTCCTAGCTTCTCGACTATAGAGGAAGGCATCAGATTGATACTTGCCCCTAAGTCAGCTAGAGCATTATTGAAGTTGAAATTGTCTATAGAGCAAGGGATAGTGAAACTACCTGGATCCTTTAGCTTTTCGGGTATTGACCTCAGAACCACGGCCGAGCATTCTGCGTTCAAGTCCACGACTGAGAGCTCCTGCAGCTGCCTTTTGTTTGTCAGCAAGTCTTTGAAAAACTTGGCATATTTGGGCATCTCCGCTAAGGCATCCATCAGCGGCAGGTTGACGTGGAGTTGTTTGAGTAGGTCCAGGAATTTGTTGTATTTCCTGCTATCGTCATCATTTCTAACCCGTGAAGGAAACGGGAGAGAAGGTTTGACGATAGTGGCCTTTGTGCTCGGGCGGGTTGGTTCCATGCTCTTCTCAGTTGGAGCATCAGTTTGTTTCTCAGGTTCTATGATCAGAGTATCGTCTTTGTCTTTCTGCTCGACTTCTTTCGTTTGTCTCCCACTTCGGAGAGTGATAGCTTGCACATGTTCACGGGGATTTGGTTCCGTGGTGCTAGGCAAGTTGCCTGGCTGGCGACCGGGAACATTGCTTTGAGTAATTTGCATCATCAGATTTTTGATCTGATTGTCAGTGCTGGCCTTGTATCTCGACATTTCCTCCCGTGTCCTTGCCAGTTCTGCTACCAGCAAGCCTATCTCTGATGGTTGGGCAGCCTCCGTTTGTCGTTGGTGTGGAGGCACATAAGCTTGGTTGTTTTGTTGGCTTGATGCACCTCCCTGGTTACGACCTTGGAAGTTGTTGCTTTGATTGTTGTTGGAGTAGTTTTGATTACCTTGATAACCGCCGCGAGGAGGACCATTGTTGTAATCCCCCCGCCATTGGTTACCTTGGTAATTCCTTCCTTGGAAATTCTGAGGAGGGTAGTTGGAGTTACCCCCCCGGTTGCCTTGATTCGCCCATGGCCCTTCTTGTTTTGTTCGGCCATACTCCAGCAGGTTCACCTCCCTGTTGTTGCTTAGATTACATTCATCAACTAATTGACATGAATTGGTCAAATGTGGACCAAAACATATCTCACAAGAGAGTACAAGTTCAGTTGAATGGGAAACAGGTGAAAAAGTATTAAATTGAGATGACTGTGGGACAGAGCTTGAGTTCCCGAAGTATCGGGATGATTGTTGATTCGGGACAGCACCGATGTTGTTGACTTGGTTGGTGTGATTGTTATCATTCTTCAAATTCTTCACTTCCACGACCAATCCTTCAATCTTCGCTGTTAGGGCCGTGAGTTGGTCAACTTCAAGATAGCCTGGTTTTGTTGCTGCTGGAGTTCTTTCATCATACCAGTATCTTGCATTTGAAGTGACCTTCTCCACCAGAGCTTCGTTGGTGTTGGGTGCCATGTCAAGGAATGATCCCACCTGAGAAGAGAAATCAAGTTCTTTTTTGCTACTAACTTGAAGTCCATTGTAAAAATGGAACATCAAGCTACTAGAATCCATCAGTGTGAGTGGACATTTGTTTCTCATATCCTTGAAACGATCCCATGCTTCACTTAAGGACTCCATCGGGAATTGTCTAAAATTTTGAATTGCTGTTTTAATTTTAGCGACTGCCGATGGAGGAAAGTATTCTTGCATGAATGCTTGGTGCAGTGCCGCCCATGTTGTGAAGTGACCCGTTGGAAAGCTATTCAGCCACAAAGATGCCCTATCCCGTAATGAGAAGGGAAATAGGGTCAACTTTGCGGCGTCGGAGGTCACTCCGTTAAAGCGGAACGTTTGGCATGCTCGGGTGAACCACAACATGTGGGCCCTAGGGTCATCTTGCTTGGACCCGCCAAATTGATGGTTGGACATCATGTTGACAATGGCGGGTTTGATCTCGAAATTGGCCGCCTCGATTGCCGGTGCGCTGATACTATCATCCTCAATGAAGTTTGGCGTAAGATTTTGCAACACCGTCCTTTCTCCCGCCATGCTTGGTTTCTTGTGGATTGAAAGATTTTTCCACAAAGTTCGTTCAGGTTCAGGGTCAAGTTCAATTAGACCTTCCACTCCTTTAGAGCGGGTGTGCATTCATTTATCCTGAAATCTTTATACAAATTGTCGCAAGGGCGAAAAAGTCTCCCTAACTAGAATTCACCTATGCTAGAATTAAATCAAGAAATAATCGTGCCATTCCCCGGCAACGGCGCCATTTAATAACCGCTTTCGCGGCGTTGTAGTAAAACGGAGTCTAACCTTTCGGTTTTTCCCCGAGTGTCGTGTCTCTCAAGGAATGGCGGAGGAGTTTCTTAATTTAATTTTAGTCACGGGCTATCGCTAATTGTTGGAAGCTTTTTCAATATAGGAAAGTGATTTTGTTCTATATTACGCTAAATTATAACTAGGAGCAAGGTGCAATTTAAAGATTAATGTATAAATATTGAATATTCAAGGATGCAAATAAGGGCAATGAATTGAGTAATTAGAAATGGATATGTTCTTGGACCTCTTAATTAGGGAAATTAAAACTAAAATTGGACTAATAATTTCTTTCCTCATAGACAAGAATAGAAACTATCTTCATTAATTTATCCTATTTCTAGGTGTCATTAATGTGTTTAAAATGGTTGGCTTAAATTATTTTCTAAACCCATAGACAAGGTAGAACTAATTTTCCAATATTTTAATTAATAAAAATAGCCAAATTCATTAACTAGTTAAACTCTTTATTTTAGCAATTGAATTTATTTCTCATAGACAAGATGTAAATCCTTTTCATTAAATTATCCTATTTCTAGGCCTTATTAATGTGCTCAAATATGGTTGGCTTAAATTAATTTCTAATCTCATAGACAAGTTAGAATTAATTTTCCAAGAATTTAATTAATGAATATGGCTAACTATTATTAATTACTATTTCATCATTTCAAACAACTAGTCCAATTTATTAATTTTAACCCCTAATTTTAGGTCAACAAGTCAATCCATATTCCTTTTCTCAATTCATGCCCTAACAAATTTAGCTACTCATCACCATTTTTGCAATTAACAAAATAATGATTAAATTCAACATTAACAAGGAATTAAACATGTATGATAGCAAAAATTAAACAAAAATTATATTCTGGAACAATAAACTTGTAGGAACTAAAATATAACTTTCTGGAATTTTTCACCAATTTTTGAACCTAAAATCCAATTTTTGACAACTAATTGATAATTTTCCCAATTTTAACTAGAAAATGCAAAAAGCAACTAAAAATATGCTAACTTCGTTATAAATTTTATTCTAGCTACTGGGAGTGATATTACTATGAATCAAACTGAAATTAAGGCCGAACTAATTTTTTTCTATTTTTCTAGTATTTATTCTAAATTATGAACTAATCTCAAATAATTACCAAAATTAATTAAAAATTACTTATGCTTCGTGAAAAATTAATTTATTCAGATAAATAACTACCTTGAGGCTAGTAAACAGCTATATAATTAATTGGAATGAATTCAACAACAATAACTATTTTATTTAATTTTTGGAAGTAAATGCGAAATACTTGAAAAATAATCTGGAAATTTTCGAAGAACAGATTGAACAAACAAAGTGCAGATTCAGATTCTACTCGTTGAGAAGATGAAAATACATATAAAGAACTTACAATTTGGAGCTAAAATGAAGAAGATATGAAGATTTGAAGTTTCTCTCTCTCTAAAACCTTTGGAGCTCGAAAATGGAGGAAGAAAGAAGGTGTTTTGAACTGATTTAGGGTTGGAAGAGGTGTGTTTGAGATGTAGAAAAAGCCTGCTATTTATAGCAGAAATTTCACCGAAGGCGCCCATGCAGGCGGCCGCCTTCCGGCAGCATCTGGCCGCCTGCCGTCAAGTCGCCGGCAACACGACGTGGCCGGTCCCGTCAGCCGTAGGCGGCCACAGAGGGCGGCCGCCTTCCGTCACACCTTGGCCGCCTGCCGTCTTTTCAGGGTTAAATCGGATCGCGGCGGATCCCGCCGGATCCCGGCCGCCGCAGGCGGTCCAGCAGGCGGCCGCCTGCCGTTCCTGTCTGGCCGCCTGCCGTCAAATCCCACCGGCCGGCGGTTGCTTCGTCGTCTTCTGCCGCAGGCGGTCACCGTAGGCGGCCGCCTTCCGTCCAGTGTCGGCGGCCTACGGTCTTTTCCGAACCCGGTCAAAGTCAAAGTTTGACTTTCCAAAAATACCGTAGGCGGCCGCGAAGGCCTTCATTTTGGCCGCCTGCCCGGCCGCCTGTGACCTAATTTGTCCGGCTTGTTCCTTATTTTGTGCTCTTCAATATTGTCTTCTGGACCACTTTGAAATAATGTCTCCTTCTTTCGGTATGATATCATTTGTTGCTCAAATTGGCTCATGTTGTGCTCAATTGACCCGAAATTCCGACAAACATACGATGAATGTGGTTTTCACCTGATTTCATGAAACTTGAACCAAAATATCTAAAACATGCCTTTTCTTTCTATTTTCAATCAAAAATCGCTTAAATTTGATAAGAAAAATAAGTACAAAAATGGACTTATCAAGTATTTTGGTCCTTTTCAGATAATAGCAGTCATTGGCAAAGCTGCATACAAGCTCAAGCTTATAGAAGCATCACAGATACATGATGTTTTTCATGTATCTCAGTTAAAGGTATTTCATGGAGTTCTTCCAGCAATAACCCACATTCCATCCTAGTTCCATAATCGAATTAGTGGAGAAATATTGAGGAGAAGAATGGTCAAGTTTCAAAATCGTGCTAAGGTGAAATTTTTAGTACAAGGGGCAGAAGGCTGAAGATGCTACCTGGGTTGACTCGGGGAGTATTTTGGTCCTTTTCAGATAATAGCAGTCATTGGCAAAGCTGCATACAAGCTCAAGCTTATAGAAGCATCACAGATACATGATGTTTTTCATGTATCTCAGTTAAAGGTATTTCATGGAGTTCTTCCAGCAATAACCCACATTCCATCCTAGTTCCATAATCGAATTAGTGGAGAAATATTGAGGAGAAGAATGGTCAAGTTTCAAAATCGTGCTAAGGTGAAATTTTTAGTACAAGGGGCAGAAGGCTGAAGATGCAACCTGGGAAGACTCGGGGAGTGTTTGCAACTGTTTCTGCTTAAAAAAGCACTTTTGGAGATGTAATGAAAAAGTGATTAGTAGTAAAATAAGTGCTTTTGGTGTAATAGAAAAGGGAAAATCACTTTTCACATGCAAGCCGAGAAAAAGTAAAAATTGGAAGTGTTTGGTAAATAAGTGCTTTTTAAGCCAAAAGCTGAGAAGTGCTTTTTTTTAACTGTTGCAAACACTCCCTCAGAGGTGTTTCCCAGAAAGTTTCCAAATTTTTCAGCTTGAGGACAAGCTTTTTAAAAAAAAGGAAGTATTGTTACAGTTTAATTCTGGAACCTTCTATTTTTAGTAGTTGTAACAACTTAGCTAATACCGTTCACAGTTAGAGCAATTGGTTATGACTGATGTGTATAAATAAAACAATCCATTGTAATTCAGATATGAATAATATTCCTCTTGACAATGCTTAGTTGAGCTCAGCTCCTAAATCTTCCTATGCTATGTTCCATTCTTATCTTCTTCACAAATTCCCCATTTTATTCCATAGTTGATAACTTCGTTACAGTAGAATTGTAGCTACTGTAAGATTTACCCTTCTATTGTGCCTGGAATGCATCTTCTGTAGCTCCAAATCCGAAATCGACATTTAACATATTCTTCCACTTGATTGAAAACTCTTCCTGAGCTGCTCCATGTTCATGAAGGTAAATGGTGCTCCATATCCAGATCGAAGACTCTTCTTCAATTCTTCTCATACCCACTCTCACTCTTATTTCTTCCCAAAATATATGACAATGATTATTAGTAGTAGTTGATTATTTTGTAGTGATTATTTGTAGTTGTTGATAAATCGGTGTTGTGAGAATAAGGTTCTTGAATGGCTGTTTCTAAGCTTTGCTCAATATTGTCATTAATTGAACTGTTTGATGTTATTTGTTCTTGATAGTTCTAAGAACAGACTATAATAAGACAATTATAAAAGAAGGTCTAGGAGTTGTTGAATTGGCCTGATAATTTTTTTACGAAATAAGCATTAGTGTTTTTTAAGAAATGAAAACATTAGCCTCCTGTAAACCCTTCGACGTATTCCCCATAAATGAAAGAAGTAGTTGTGAATCACATAATATGCAAAAGACACCCCTGTGGTAATTTTACATTCAATCAGCAAATTCAGCCAATATATTATCAAACACTTTCACTTGAGCAGATTCAGCCACTTCAGCCTATTCAGCCATTTCAGCCATTGCAGTCGTTACCAAACAGGCCCTAAAGCTTTTTGCACAAAAATAAAGTTTAAGGGCATAGATGCTCTTTGGTGACAAGTTCAGGGGGAGTTTTTCTCATTTTCCCTATTTTGTTCACAATTATCAAATAATTAATAACACTTTTAAAACAACATTACAAGATTTTAATTTTTTTTTAACCCGGAAGGCAAACCACCAAAATCGGTGGGGCAAACGCCGGGGAACATTTTTTTTGTTTTTTTATGTGTTTATAATGTTAATAAGTGTTAATAATGTAAATAAGTTTCACATAGACAAAATAAAAATAACAAAAAGTCATAAAAACAATAACTGAACTTTAATATTCAAGCACTAAGTATTAATTAAAATAAAACGACACTAAGTATTACCTTTAAGTGTAAGAATCGACAATAAATTAGGTTGGGCTAGTAGTTAAAAACTGAAGATTGCATGCTCTATCACATACAAATTTGCCAATTTTCTTATTTAGACGTCCCAAAAACATTGTGAAATCCATTTAAAGTAAAAAACATGTGATTAAAGTTATTTACTCTATCATTTGCACAACTTTCAACCACAAATTTTTTATTTTATTATTCCACGTGTAAAATAAACATTTTTGGTGCGGATTTAATTACCACGGATAAGCATATATTTTTGACATAAATTATGTAAACATATGATAAATTCATGGTGAAACTGTTAATTTTTAATTGGTATATTATATGATACAGTCTGATATATAAATCATGTACTACGTATTTATTTAGAGTTACGTTACAGTCTTATGTTAGGCCCAAAAAAATTTAGTGGTCCTATGGATATTAATTTAAGTGGGTTAATAAGTTATCTAATAAAGTTTAGGGACCAAATGTGTAGAGACCCACAGGCTTAACCTAATTAATGATGGGCTGATTAGGGTTATGGTCCCTAGTTGAACACGTCATTCCGTCTTTCTGCATCCCATCGCTAGAGAGATAATTTCCGAGAGTGTGTATCAACTAGAAGACGCAAACCCTAGTCTCCTTCTCCCGAATCTCCAAAGATCATCTCCTATGGAGTCAGGTACGCTTTCGCTCAGTTAATTCTCTAGATAATTCCAATATGAAGATTAAAGTATTATCGGATTTATTCCAACAATTAGTATCAGAGCTTCTTCATATTGAATTATTTGGAGTTTTCATACTTTTGTTTCAATCTTCAATGATTGATTTTTTAAATTTCTTTTGTTGTGAAATCCGCCGATCAAGCGGAATTAGGGTAATGCGATTTTGCGGTTATGGAATTAGAGTATTTTTTCTTAATCGGCAGATCATGACCAAATTGACATCGGCCAATAATAAGTTGATGATTCAACAATACGATTATGTTTAATCGGGTGTTGTTCTTCTTTTCTATGCTGTCGGATGTTGACAGCGGCATAATTAAGATTTTCTTTTGGTTTCGTTGCCTTAATTTCAGCCTGATTTGCACTGTTGGGTTGTTGAGTTATCTTTTATGATTCTATTGCAACATGTAGTATACTTTTGTTCTTTATGTCTTTCGGCACAGTTAAAAATTCATCATTTTGGCTTTGTCGAATTAAGGTGTCGATCAATCTTACGCTTGATATTTTGGAAGATGAATCATATTTTGAGCTATTTTTCCATAAAAGGAATTATCGTATGTATTTTGTTCTTGATTTGGTACCTAATTGTTGAGTCTGCCGAAGTATATGGATCAAATTAAGTTTTGATATGTTTCCTTTTTTTTAGGTGATTCAATTTTGGATATTACTAAAATAGATTACTTTTGTTGGTAGTCATTATTTGCGGCTTGAAAAAATTATGTGTTATGGATATATAAATCCATTTTGCGATCGCACAGCGTTTGAGTACAGATTTTACAAATTATTGTTATACATAACACATTTGCATGTGATTCGGAGAAATTCGCTCAATTTTATTTTTCAGATTTTTTATTTAATATTAGCATGTCTAATATTTGGGTTGGTTAATTGACACGACATGCTGCAAAGTAGTCTCCCTTGTTGAAATTAATTAACTTATGTATTAAGATGATTGTGTACTTTCTTATTTCATGTGGATAATAATCGGCTCAAAGGAAGGTTATTATTTGGCCAAAATTTAAGTACATTTGTGAGAATAAAATTTGTGATAATTATAAGGTTATCATGTGGGTATTAAGTCGGTCCAAAGAAAGGCTTAGTATTTGACATGATTTTATTATCAAAATTTTATTATTACACCAAGAGTACCACTTGCAAGTCTAATTTATGTCCAAAGACAAGATTAGATGTTGCGCTAGGTATCTTGTGATGGGGATTGCTAATATTTAAAAACAAAAAATTAATTATCAAGTTAATTTCTGTTTCTAGAGCATATCATTTATATTATTTTTGTTCTCTTTCAGTCAACAATTCAGCTGCTACAATATCTGCTAATATTAATAGCATCCATGTGCTTAACAGCACGAATTTTAAGGAATGGAAAGAGAACGTTATGATTGTGCTCGGTTGCATGGATCTAGACCTTGCACTCCGGACTGAGAAACCTGCCGCTCTTAAGGATACATCTACCCTTGATGAAAAGAGGAAGATGGAGAGGTGGGAACGCTCAAACTGCATGAGTCTAATGATCATGAAACGTGCAATTCCAGAATCATTCAGGGACACTATGTCTGATGAGGTTGATGCCAAATCGTTCCTTGCCGAACTTGAAAAATGTTTTGCTAAAAACGAAAAGGCGGAAACTAGTACTCTTTTGAGCACTCTTGTTTCCATGAAGTACAAAGGCAAAGGGAACATAAGGGAGTACATCTTGGAGATGTCTCATATTGCTTCAAAACTAAGTGCACTTAAGCTTATTTTACCTGAGGAATTGCTTGTGTATTTAGTTTTGATCTCTCTTCCTTCTCAATTTAATCAATTTAAAGTCACTTACCATTGCATTAAGGAGAAATGGTCTCTCAATGAGCTCATTTCTCATTGTGTTCAAGAGGAAGAGAGAATAAAGCAAGATAAGACTGAAAGTGCTCATTTGACATCTACCTCTAAGGGCAGCAAGAAAAGGAAATTTAAGGAAGTTGTAAATTTAGGGCCTCAAAGAAAGCATCATAAGGAAACTAAGGAAGAAACTAAGGAATCTGGATGCTTCTTTTGCAAAGGGACTAATCACAAGTAGGGGTGTGCATAAACCGGTCCAGACCGCATTTTGGACCTGAACCGGACAGGAATGGACCGGTCCGGATTATACAGGTCCGGTCCTCGGTCCATTGAAAATTGAGATTCCGGGTTCCGGTCCGGTCCGGGTCAAACCCGGAAAAAACAGGTCTGGACCGGTAACCCGGTTATTACTATTATTTTATCCGTATTAGTGTAATAATGTTAATTGGGTTTGTGACAACACAACCTAATAGGGTTAATTATTTTACTCAACATGGACTTTTATTTTAATTTTTTGTTAAACAATAGCTCTTTGGGCAGATTTTTGTTTTTACTTTGCCATGGATATTGGCAGATTGTCATGACAGTGTTGCTTCCTTAGCTAAAACTAGAGTATCGTGGGTTATGTTTGCTAATTGCTATGGACTAGTTAACACTTTGATCAAAATATTTTTACTGCTTGTTACTTTCGTTTTTTGACATGGTTGCATGACTCCATAGTGCATAACTGCATTATACATAAAGAAAACAATAAGTGATGGTCCGATGGATATATTTGTAAAGCTTATTGGGAGTTGTTGCCTTAGGAGATATTGAATCTTAACATTTAGTGACTAGTATTTGCATTATATAAAATGATGATGCACTGCGGGTTTGCAGTATTAAAGAATAAGGATTGCACACATTTATGCCTTCATAAAAATTCATAAACTAAAGTGCATTTCAATACCGGTCCAATCAGGTCTAAAACCGGACCGACCCGGAATAAACAGGTCCGGACCGGTCTGGACCGGTTACTATCAGGTCCGGTCTTCGGTCCATCCAAAACACAGATTCCGGTTCCAGTCCTAACCGGTTCCGGTCCGGTCCGGTCCGGTTTTGGACCGGTGCACACCTCTAATCACAAGAAAAAGAACTGCACTAAGTACCACGCCTAGCGTGCGAAAAAGGGTATGTCTCTTGCTCTTGTTTGTTCTGA